AGATGATATACTTCAATCTCGCCTATTAATCGCTATCGAAATATTGTTTTTATTGATGAAAGTTCATTTAATTTACACATGTTTCGCAGTCATTCATGGGCAAGAAGAGGAGTAACACCAAACCCGACCATTCACCCTAGGCAACGTAACGTTTCGATGATATTGGCCGTCAATGGTTTAAATATTATTCACTGCGCAGCTATCAGTGTGTCAGTCAACACAGTTTTTTTTCAAGAATATTTTGATGAAGTTGTACGAGCTTTGGGGACAGAGGAAGAATTCACCCTGGTGATGAATAATGTTGAAATCCATCATAATATTGAGATGAGGGCTAGGACATTCAAATAAAATATTTACCACCATATTCACGATTCTTGAATCCGTGTGAAGAGATTTTTTTTTTATCTTAAGAATAACGCGCGAAGAAATACGGCTCCAGCTGGAAGAAATGAACTAATTTCAAGAATGCGTGAGGCATGCTTATCTATTCCTAATGTAAACTTATCAAACTATTACACACACTGCAAAAGCTTTTTCGAAGCGTGTCTTAGGTCAGATGACATACCTCAACAGTAATTGGAAAATAAACATTATATTTTAAATAAAATAAAATTTTAAATTCTTTTAAAAAATCGAATAAAAAAAAAATATAAAGAAAACCTTTTTTTAAAAATAATAAAAGATGTTGAGATTGCGCATGCGTTAAATGTTTTAATTGAAAATCGCGATTGTTTTAATTGAAAATCACATTGTTTTAATTGATTGTCGCGGTATGTCATGGTTGTTTTAAATGGTTGTCATGATTGTTTTAAATGGATGTAAAAATCGGTATACAAATATTTAAAATAAATAAATAAATAAACATAACTACATATTAATAATTTTTAAATTAAAAAATATGTTGTTTTTTTTTTTTTTTTTTTTTTGTTTGTTTTTTTTTTGAGGGGGGGGGGCATTTTTCTGGGGGATTTTTTCTTCGGGGATCATTTCCTGCTACCGGATTTTTCCGATATTAAGTGCATCAATTCACGAGTTAAAAGTCAATAGCGTAATTTTAAATTAAATTCATTAATAAATTGATTATGCATTTACTTTATGCTTATATCATATGATAACTATGCCACAAATTGCTTGACGTTATAACTTCAAGTTTTATTTTGTTTATTAAGTTATGACGTCACACAATTTTTGACATGATTATGATTTTTAACAAATGTGTCACTATTGTCAGTGGCGTAGAAAGGTTATTAAATTTTTGAAATTACCAAATTATAAACAACAAGAATATTCCAAATTTTTTTACGTTTATTTGCATGACGAAAAGATTCTTTTAAAAAATAAATTTCTGTGAGATTGGAGATTGGGAACGAGAAACCCTAAAATCTTAGCCCTCCCTGCCAAGGGAGGACTTAGACAACAAGTTGATGAAATATTTTTTGTACAATTTTCAATTAGACTTAAATTCATCGATAAATTTTAAATTTCATAGTAAAATATTTTATGGTTCAAAAATTATGACCATATAAAGTGTAAACCCTTCTTAATATGAGCCGGTTGCAACCCTTACACTAGCAAGGAACTGTTCATTGATACATATAGGACTGCCAACTGTTCAAGTTGACCGTCCGATATCTATCTTACCAACTCAGTTGATGCAGAAAGAAATGTTAGTTACTACCGGTTTTTGCATTTAATCTGGTGGTTTTTTGCATTCAATTTGGCGGTTTTAAAATTTATAACAATTTTATAATGCATGTTATGAATTGCTTAAATTATTAGTAGTAATAAATATTCTACATACTCCAGTTAAGAATAAATTTAGATGTGTAACAAATAATATATATATATATATATATATATATATATATATATATATATATATATATATATATATATATATATATAACATACAAGTTCGAAAAAATAATTTTTAAAAAATTATTGCTTTATTCTCTATTAATGTCATCTCGATTAACACATTGTGTGAGAAAAGATTTGCAGTATCTCACGAAGTTTGAAAGATCATGTTCAGTAACGTGCTCACAACCGTTCCTCATACGTTCTAACAAATCGTTATTTCCGATTGGAGCTATTTGTCCTCTTGTAGTTAACTTTATTTTCGAGAATGTGTCTCTTCACAAGGATTTAAAAAAAGTGAGTATCGTATAAAACGAGTTTCACAGGGATAACTATCATAAAAATCTGATAATGAATGATGAAACTTAACGTTGTCCATCACCAAGGTAAACTTGGTGATGGACAAACTTCTCCCAAATATGGTTCTTCTTCTCCCAAAATACTTTTAAGCGTATTTAAGAATCCTTTAAAGATTTCTGCTGTCACTCCTACGCCAATTATTGCTTCACAGTGGACTATGTTTAAATAATTTAATGCTAACATCATAGTTATGTTACGGCCTCTTGATGACAATACACGTTGATTTGGGGTCGTTCCTCGGAGACTGTATCCGTGGTTTCTTATCATATGAAGATTGAACGGACTTTCATCGATGTAAATGATATTTCTGTAGCATTGTTGCAATGTCAAGTTTAAATACCATGAAACAAATGTTTTTCTTTCTTCTTCTACCTCTGCAGTATTGCGTCTTTCACTAATGGGTCCTTATATTTTGTATCTATAATTCAATTTTTTTAACCATCGCCATAATGTAGAGACATTGACAAAAAGTCCCAGTTCTACCTTTAATTCCTGTAGATTATAGTTTTTGTTATCTCCAATCAATTCGTGTAGCTTATTTCTTATTTCCTCAGTACAACCTGACTGTCGAAAACTACCTCTAATACCAGGATTGATATTACCTGTTAATAAATATCGATTGACCGGGCGTCGTATTGAAGTCTCACTTCTATGCATGAGTTCCGATACTTCTTTCACACTTTTCCCTTCGTTAACTACAAGATTAATGATCAAATTTCTTACTTCAACATAATTCTCTGAGCATTGTCTTCGTGCGTTATTCATTTTAAATTTTTAAAAAATTAAGAGAAAACGGGTTTAATTGTACATAAGGAAGTTAAATTAAATAAACCAATAAAAATAAAACTGTTCATCATAATAAAGAAAAACCACCAGATTGAATGCAACAAACTACCAGATTGAATGCAAAAAACCGCCAGATTAAATGAAAAAAACCGCCAGATTCGTGCAAAAATCCACCAGATTAAATGCAAAAACTGGTACACACTGATAAATGCACCTCAGCGGCAGTGCTTCACGGATAATGATTTAACTCTGCTTGTGATGATGGAAACAAGCAACAAATTAGTTAGAAAATTGATTATATAATAGCTGAGTACGTTTGATGACATTGATTTTAGTGTGTATAAATACAATTTGAAGACATTTAATTTAACGAAATAACTATTAAAATGTACTCCTTGCTTTCCGTGAATTTACCGTAATTTTTCTACAAATTTTCTAAACAAGTCGTGATTTATGCAATTTTTTGCCTTGAATTTTCACTGACCCTATTCATAATGTAAAAAAATTCATTCTGGTTGCAAATAAATTATATTCCTGGGTGCTTTCTTATTCATTATGTCCGTACTGAGTTATAAAGATTTTTCAAAGACATAGTTTGATCAGGTTGATAAAATTATAGGAAATATAATAAAAGTAATAAAAGATGCATGCAGATGGTACTATAAGATGGTTTGTAATTTGTGATCATCAAAAGTTAACAAATACTTATTTATTTGAGTAGAAACTTTTTAAACAACGCTTTAAAATTTTTCCTAAATAAAACGCCAAATTCGAATAATTATGGACGGTAGTGTAGATCTGAATTTTTTTTTATTATTATTTGATTTAAGTACCCCAAGATCGGTCTTATCACAGAGCACCTTGGATGAGTTTTTAATCGGAGGTTCACGCCTCCTTTCTAACCGATGTCGCAAAACTGGGGTTGAACCACGGATCCTTTGTTTCTAAGGCAAGTGCGCCACTGCGCCACGGCTGCTCATCCACGAATTGAATAGATCATTATCATATGTAAAACATTGATATAATAAAAGGTAAATTATAATAAAACCGTTTAAAGGTAAATTATAATAAAACCGTTGAAAAAACAATTAATTTAAAATTTAATGAATTTCTAAGTAAATGAATGTTACCTTTTAAACGCAATTTTATTAACAAATAATAAGGAAGTCATTGCCTTGTTCAACTTTTTGAAATTTTTCTTTTGGATTGTACTGTGTGAATGCAATTCGTTACTACTTTCATTAAAAAAATAGTATGGTGGTGCAAATTATATGAAACATTTGTGAAAATTAAATGAACTATTAAACAAAAAAAGTCGCCTTAAATCAAACTAATATCTCATATCAGCCAAAGTTCTACATAACTCCGCTTTAGTTAAACATTCATTAAGTTGAACCATTTTCCTTGGTCCAGTATACATATTAAAAAATGAAAAAACGAATTTTTTTTTTTGTATCAGATTACTCATTTATAGTATTGATTGTTACCATAGTAATTGCTTTAGAACCAGTAATCTTGACAATCAGAATCTTGTAATCTTGACAATTTTCAGTAATAAAAATAAGTAATTCATTTCTGAGTTTAAAAAATCGATGATAAATTAAATTAAGTCAATAAAAATATCATCAAATTTTTTTAAATTTTGAAACTAAAAATTAAAACAAGTTTGTTAAAGAAATAAGACAATAGATAATATACTTAAGATAAAGAAATAAGACAATATATAATATAACTGAGATAAAGAAATAATATATTTGTTAGTATAACTGAGATAGAAATAAAACAGTAGTAATTTAACTGTAATAGACAATAGACAATCGTAATAAAAAAAATAAGACAATCATCAATATAACTAAGAATTGCTAAATACCTTCAAGAAGAAGGAATTAATGATTTATATGATAAACGTTCACAAGAACTCAGAAATTAAATACTTCTCTTAATAAAATTGTTTTGTAATAAATATAAAAACTTAATAAATATATCTAGCAAAAATGTACAAGTAAAATATTGAAATATAAATATACAGGTGTTTACATAGAAAATATATCTTTATAAAAATAAACTCCTTATGAGGTTTTCTTTTGTCTAAGTTTATGTTTTATACTGCCTTTTTTTGACATAACTGTTCTCTTTAGATTTGGAAGTTTATCTTGGTTTTCTTCAATTGATCCATCAAGATTATAACTTGAATCTTTTTTCATATTTATTGATTCCAGTCCATCTTTATTGAGTTTATTTCTTAAAATAGAATCTTCTTCAAGAAACGATTTTAAGGATGCTAAATTATAATCAGAAGACTGTTCTTCTGGCATATCTCTAGATAAAGTCTCTTTTTCTATTAGATTAGAAGGCTCCTTTTCCAATACACTGGGTGTTTCATTTTCTATTAAACTAGAAGAATCTTTTTCCATTGTTCTGGGCGAATCATGATAATCATTAAGTTCTGGTCCAATCAATTTTTGAGCAACACGTCGTTGAGGAACTTCAGCGTTTACTTCAATATTCGAATTTGCGTCGTCATATTCATTTAAATTTCTATTGTTAGTCTTTGATAAAGGAGCTGTAGAATCAGTTACACTGGTTACTGAGGAAATCAACCCATAAGATCTCTCTTCAAGATCTTCAGGTAAACCTGTCAAAGGATTAATTCTACTTTTAGTTTGTGGTATATTTACAGCATGGATACGTTTTTCATAATTTAAACGCTGACTTGCCACATTATTGTTATTATTATTAATATTTAGGTTACTATTTTCAATATTATTTGAAAGAGCAAAAGAACTAATGGTTTCAGGTTTAATTTTAAAAGCATTATGAAAGTTTCTCCCTCCAAGTGAAAGGTTTATTTTTTTCATATGCAAATCTAATGGTCTGCGAATTGTTGGTATTCTTCGATTAACTAAAGGAACATAACTAGGTAATTCGTTAGCATTTGCTTTAGTTGATACAACTTGAGATTTCATATTAGCTGCAGTATTTCCGAACTGCCTAGCATAGCCAACTTCTCCACCAGACACGCCAATATTTAAGTTTTTCTCGAATGTTTCTTGATTATGGAGAATTTCTTCATTTTCTAAGTTGATGGAGCTAACTTGATGAAAAGGAATATTTGAGTTAATAAATGTTTTAAACGGATGATTAGCTTTAAACAACAAAGGTTGTCTTGCCACTAATTCTTCTTTAACAGCGTTTTGTATGCTGTCACCAGCTGGTTTAAAACTATTACTAAAACTTATAGTAGTCCCTATGTGCGGAGAAAGTAAACGTCGAGAAGGTAATATTTGAGGAGAGTGGAAACCACTATTTATATGATAGTTAGTATCGTGGTACGCCAAAAGTTCACGATTGCCCAAGCCCAGGTTTAAAGAGGTTGAAAGCAAATCATCGTTAATCCTGTTTATAACAAAGCTCGGGTTAGCAAAAGGATCATTCCCACCACGGCGTACACTGTCTTCTAAATCTACTATAGGATTAGCTGCGCGCATTGCGAGTTGATGATCTTGTACTTCTATAACATATTTCTTTTTGTTTTCTTGGCGTTGCGTACTAATAACACCTAAAAACAAAAGCTTATTTGATAAAATTCTTTTTGTTGTTGTTGTTTTACTTGTAATTAGATTTTATTACTTTTTACAATATTAAATATAGTTTTAAAATAATTTCTCACATGGGATCAGTAGATACAAAAGTATGCATAGAGGTAAACTCATTTTTAAAATTATCTTTAATTAATTTCTAGCTGCGATCTCCATGTTTGATTTTAATTCAGAAAGTGCTAATAGCAAACGACCGGTTTTTTGTTTCTCTTCAGTGAGCAAATCGTCGCTATCAAACGATAGGAGCGACAGACTTCAACGTCGAAATAATTACTTAATGAACTTGAAGTTTCTAGTGAACAGCTTGATGGATTAAAAACAAAATTGAAATTAAAAACTTTTAATTAACTTATAGTTTAAAAGTTTTTTTTAATTTATAATCTTTTTTTTTTTGTAAATTATTTAGATTAAAACTTTTATCTTTTTGAATTTTTTTTTTTTTCGATCTTTTGCAAGGTTAAACATTTCTTTAAAAATATTTGCTTTGCGCGTTTAAGAAAGTGATAATTGCGACAATAATGATTGACCTCGCAAACACTTACAATTGCGTTTAACTCAAGGCGGATTTCCAGAGAGCACAGTGGGCCAGGCGGATTTCCACAGAGCACAGTGGGTGGATAAAAGTAAAAAAATACATTTTAAAAAATTACCTTTCTATATACCATTTTGTAGTTTAAACATTCAGCTTTTATATTATGTATATATTTTTCTATATACTTATCATGTCGTATGCTTCAAAGCTGTAAAATAAAAAGACTTTTTTTTTTTTAAGTTTACTAAATTTTTTATTTTAATTTGATGAGACACTTCAGTCACGTGACTTTTTTTGCGTGACAAGTTGAGAATATAAATATCGGCGAATTTTTCGGCAACTTTTTCTGGAATTATTTTAATGCTATCTAATTCCAAACCCAATTGCCTGTTGTATTGCTCTGGCAAAAATTAAAAAAAACGATGATCTGTGAATTCTTCAAAGTTTCTTAAAAAAGAAGCTAGAAGATTTTTCAAGTCGTTTTCTCCATAGTTTATTTTATTTACACTTTTTGACAAGTCCATATAATGTTTTAAATTGTATTTTTTTAGGTTCTAGCACATCAAAAAAGATTATTTAGATTATCAAATTACAATATTTGATATTTGTTTTTATAATAATTTGTTTTTTATGTCAGGGCTTTGCACATAAAAAAACACTACTTTTTCATCATTACTTTTTCAATATTTTTCTTAACGCCATTATGGTTATTTATTGTAAACTGACCTATATCTGGCTGCGTCCTTATTCTGGTCGATTCTCAAAAGCTATTAAAAATTTTTAATGCAGGGTTGTATTGATTGCTTTAAAGTAAAAATACAATATTTAGACTTTATAATTTATAAATTTCTGTATACAAGCTTATAACATATTTTCTAGCCATTATATCTGGCAACGATAAGTTTTAATTCTGACCATGCATGAAATGCATAGTTTTTAAAATTAATCACTTGAACAGAGATATAAATGTGTGTGTATTATACTAGTTTTTCAACCTCAGTCCAATGACTTTTTTATTTTTTTTGCTTTGTTATTTTGCTTATTAGTTGTATTTTTAAGATAACAATGTGGATTGGGTAGAAAGTCTTTGTAAACCTTGGATGATAAATCCTGCTGTCATTCCATTAATAGTGTCATTATAAAAATACTCTTAAAATGTTTACGTTAACAAGTTTGTAGGAAGGGTGCCAGTTTTGAAAATTTGCTTCAAATTTTCTGAAATGTCATTATACAAAAAATAATATTATAGAAAACCATAGAGGTCTTTATATGTAAACCATCTAAACCATGTATGTATGCACCATGTACATAAAAGTACATGTATATGATTGTAATCTTACATTACTTTGCATATATGATATCATCTTAGAAACATAGACATTTATTTTTAGACAGACATAACTATTTTATAATTAAATTTTCATGGTTTTTTTTACTTTAGAATGGAAAAAAAATAATAAAACTAAAAAATTTCAACGATTATTGAAAAGCAGAGAGGCAAACGCAGAAAATGCTGTTTATGAATTGATGAATCAATAACATCAGCAATTAAGGCTGTTAAAAATGGAGTTTTACAGCAAGCATGTAGAACATTTCACATTCCATTATGTTTTTTATAAGTTTTAATTTTTTAGAGTAATGGAAAATGAAGCCAAACCTGAATGTCCAACTATTTTAGATGAAGAAGAAGATCGTGCATCTTGAGGAATCAGATTTGGTTGATCGCAATTTCTAATATATGCTGAAAATTTTGCAAATTTTGAAGCATAAAAAGTTATTCAAGAATCGAACTCCAATGGGTAATTCCATGTCAAATGACCCAGGTCATGTCACTATACATCTCAGATTTTGCTGATTTTTATACAGTTGAGAGTGCTTGGTAAAATAAGAATTCTTTGAAATTTTTAGCTTCTGGCTCCAAGAAGATCCTAAAATATGACCGTTTTGCTTTTAGCAGATACTGGCCAGATCTCTCTTGTCCACTTAGAATTGCAACATTTATTTAGATTTTTTAGATTTTATATTTAGAGGTTTCAAATTAGATAACTTTAAAAATATTTGGTTTTTTTACTTAAAAACTTGTAACTAGCTATTTTTTGGGGTGAAAAATCCAATGATATGATCAGAAGTGTAAAAAATTATTATTAGGTACCTATAATTATCAATTTAAATATGTTAGGCAATTTTTTATATACCTGTTTTTAATGCTCAAGAAAGCCATAAGGCCTTGATGGTATAAAAAAGTATATATTACACATTATTCTATATTCATTGATCTTTCAATAAAATGTAAAGATTTGATTTTTTATTTTTCTATTTATTTGAATTTTCATGCTATATTTTTCTATACAATTTCTTATATTCGAAGATATTTTTGGCTTAGCATAGGAACAGCCACAAATAGACATTAAGACTAATTCAACTTAGTGTTTGTTATTGACCAAAATTTTTGCGTACAAAGTACTACTCAAGCGCTGAGTTGGCGTTTTTGATTTGCAAGTATATGGATTTCCATACATGGATAACGGGACACGGTTCCTACTTTTTTGTAGCGGAATATTGCAATTGGCTTTTCACTAACTTCCAGACTATCTGGAGCTCTGAAAATTCTGGAATTTCTGTAGTGCCAATAAAATTGCATGTTAAAATAAAGTAAAAATGTTTTGGTTTGTACTTGTCCTGTTTTATTTAATTATTAAAATTCAAAAATATAAAGTCTCAAGTGTTAAGATTTGCTTAGATACGTCAACGGTCAAAGTATACATACATCCAGTTGTTATAAAAAGTTGGTACAAAAATGTGTTGGTAATTGGAACCCAACACTCATTTGCTCTAGATGGTCAAAAAAGTTTGTTAAAAGGACCGTGCAGGTACATAAATATAACCACAACATCTTGCTCATACTAATCCAATCAAACGTATCATATTTAAACTGAACAAATTCACAAAATTTCAATTCTTTAATGTTAATTTACAATGTATTGATGTTATTTTTTCTGATTAGGTTAAATACTTTGAATATCAGAAAAATAAAACATGCCTGTTATATTAAAATCTTCACTTGTTAGTTTAAAACTAATAGTATCTATAGATTTTGAGTTAAAATGATAATAGCTCTTAATTCCAGGAATTGTTCTACTTGGCTCTTAATTCCAGGAATTGTTCTACTTGGCTAAAAGCGTTTTTTCAAAGAGTTTTGTAATTCTGCCTTAATTTCCTGTAAAATTGTAATTATTTTCAAATTTTGAAAAAAGTAAAGTCTTAAATTATTTTTTTATTAAGCAGTCAAGGATTTTGTTACATTCAATATCTGGTCATTTATGGGGCTTTGTAAACTTGCATTTGCAGTTAATCGTTTTACAGTGCCACCAATACCTTCACATTGTGATTTATCATGACTTGTAGCAAAAATGTCCACTCTGCATCAATATCAAAATCATTTTATGAAGATAGATGTGTATTACATCCATAAATAAAGTATCTTTGAAATACTAGAATTATTTTCTTTTAAATAATTAACTATTTGTATCTTAACTTCATACACAAAACTAATGTCATGCTCATTATCTTCTGACATGAAGCAAAATGATTTTCCTTTAAGCTGGTCAATTTTGTTTAATAAATAGAAGGCAACGAAGTTTAACATGCATTGACTTTGGAACCAATGGTAACTTTAGATTTCATCTTGAATCACAAGCGTGTAGTTTTCTGCAAAAGACGATAAGCATTCTTTTGCCAAATTTTCCTTTTGTTGCCTTAGGTATCTTGCTTGACATCTTGCAATGTAGGAACGAACTGTTAACTTGTTTGTTGTCTCTGATAACATTAATTTGTATTCTTCAATTGTTGTTGTCTGACAGATCAATGTTGTGATATCTGTTTTCATTTTGATTCAAAAAGTTTTAAATTATGCAATGTAAAATTCTGTTAAAATTATTATTTTAGATGGATGACTGTTTTTAATCCATATACTTGCAAAACAAAAATCTTATAAACATATGAACTTTCTTAAAACATTTTAAGAAAGATCATTGAATACAAAATGATCAAAAACCGAATGGAACAAATATAAAACAAAAAAATCTTTTGAAGACAATATTTTCAAAACTATCTTTACTTTACTAAAAATGAAAAAAAAAAAAAAATTTAGACAAAAATGGGACATGACCCCTAGTGCCCCAGCCTTATGGACCCTCTGGTCATCTACCCTGAAAACAATTTTAACACACATTGATCAGAACAACACAAATGCTGAAAGTTTCAGAGCTCCAGTTTGTCTGAAAAGTAGTGAAAAATCACTAAGCTCCGCTTCAAAAAAGTGGACCCATGATCCAGCCCCCTCCCCCGTTGTCTTGGGCCCTAAAAACAACTTTAACATGCATGTTTATTGGCATTACAGAAATGCCAGAAGTTTCAGAGCTCCAGCTAGTCTGGAAGTTAGTGAAAAGCCATATACTTGCAGATCAGTTTTTTTATTTTTTTTGAAAGATCAATTAATGTAGAATGTGTAACATATATTTCTTTGATATCATCGAGGCCACATGGGTTTCTTGAGCATCAAAATCTGGTATATAAAAAATTGCCTAAGTTTATTTAAATTGATAAATGCAGTACTTAAGAATAATATTTTTATTGGGTTCGCCACCCCTGAAAATGGCCTGGTACAAATTTTTAGATA